GAACATCTTTTAGTTTTCTTGCCCTTTAAGAAGAACAACCCAGAATTAGCATGCACAACATTTTTTCCAAGTGCCCACAGATGTTACCGATGGTAGAAAGGAAACGGTGACTCTTCATACTGCTTTTGTTGTACTTATTTTTGACAAATTCAAAATGGAATGAAGTGATTCTACTTAAATATGTTTTTTTTTTTTGCTTAGATTTGGTTAATTTTTCCTGGGAAATAAAAGAAAAAGTCACTGCTGAAAACATTAGTTTGCAGAACGAACCCATTCTAGCTGCTGAGTGGAAGATTAAAAAGCTACAGGTGAGGGAGGACAGAAAGAAAGAAGAAGAAAAAATGGCCGTCTGTCTCTTTAAGAGCTGGAACGTGCTATTGAGCGGGTTGGGGGGGTGGTGGTGGTTGGCTGGCTGGCTGCATTGGAACAGTCCTCTCTAATGAGCAGATTTTCTGAGAGCGAGAGACATCTATAGAGAGAGAGAGAGAGAGAGAGAGAGATCCAGAGATCCAACCATAGGAGGAGATTGTAAGACCAAGACGGCAGGCAGGCAGGCAGGCTGTGCGTCAGCCGGCGCTCCACTGGGAAACATGGAGCCGAGCAGGAGATGCTGAGGAGGACGGAGAACCCACCGCAACAGGATCATATAGATGGATGCTATTTCATCAAGCAGGCAACCTGAAGGCAACCCACGCAGAGGATAAACCACTTATGGACGCAGTGGATTAAAGACCTACAGACAGACTGAGAGGGAGAGGGAGGGAGGGAGAGAGGGAGAGGGGGAATAGAGGAGGAGAAATTAATCAATTCAGTTGTTTATTTTCATTGTCTGTGTGTGCGCACTTTCTGTCAGAAAGAGTGTGTATGTGTGCAGCTGCATATAGTGTATGTGTGGAGACTGCATTGCTGCTCTCCGGCACCACAGGACAGACACAAAAAAAAAAAAAAAAAAAGAAGAAGGCAGCTGAGCAGATTACCTTTATGTGTTTCTTCCCCATTCTCCCTCTCTCTATGCACGAATGTGTTAAAGCACAGCGTGAGTGTGTGAGGCGGCCGGAAAGATGCTGAAGCCTCAAGTGAGACTTTGTTTTATTGTCTGATCAACAATTCCTGAGGAGTCTGGGTTTTTTTTTTTCTCCCAGTTTTGGGGCCTGATCAGATCAGGGTGGCGTCTATGCCGGAGGCTCCGAGGTTAGAACCACCGGGGAAACTTCTCGGCGCTGCACCCCAGAGAGGTGGAGGCATCATCAGGTAGGAGGCGGCAGAACAAGTGGGCCCCGAGCAGGAAAAAAAAAAGAGCAGGGAGTAGGAAGAAGTGTCGTAGACTGTGTAGGCCGGCCGGTGGAGCTGGTTCGAACTCCTGCTCAGAGGGGGATAATGGCAGCTCCGGGCCGACTCGCCTCCTCTTTTACCTGCATGTGCCACAGAGGAGCTGGGAGCTGCTAGCCGACGCTACGCCAAGAGGATGGTGTGAGGAGCCGCTTCCCCACCAGACCCCTGACACAGCCGTGAGGGGTTTCTATCCGTCACCTCGTTTCTCCTTCCTCTGCTCCCAGCTACACGAGAGGGAGGCATTTTCTTGATTTGCGTGGGAGTCCTCTCCCCTTCCCTCCCACTCTCTCCTCCTCTTCCTCCTCCTCCTCATCCTCCTCACCCCTAACCTCCAGATCCATGGATTGGTTCTAGCACCAACCTGTCCTTCTTCTTGTTCCTCCTTTCTTTTTCTTTTCTTTTTCTTTTTGTTGAGGCTTCAGGGGAATTGCCAAGACCTGTTTCATGCATGTCCACTGGCGGCAGGTTCAACTTTGACGATGGGGGGTCATACTGCGGAGGGTGGGAGGAGGGCAAGGCGCACGGCCACGGGATCTGCACCGGACCCAAGGGCCAGGGCGAGTACTGCGGTTCCTGGGCCCACGGCTTCGAGCTGCTGGGCGTCTACACCTGGCCCAGCGGCAACACCTACCAGGGCACCTGGGCTCAGGGCAAGAGACACGGCGTGGGCGTTGAGAATAAAGGCCGCTGGGTGTACAAGGGTGAGTGGACGCACGGCTTTAAAGGACGCTATGGCGTTCGGGAGAGCACCGGGACGAGCGGGAAGTATGAGGGAACGTGGAACAACGGGCTGCAGGACGGATACGGAACGGAGACGTACTCGGATGGAGGTAAGGCGACACTCGGGCAGATGCATTGTGGGTGTTTTTTGGGGGCTGGTTCGAGCGCGACAGAAGGCGTGTGAGGATGTGTGAAGCATTTTTGACAACTGTCCTCCGTGAAAACAACCTCTTAGCGGAGCAGGACGGACAGGCCGGTGACAGATGCACAGTAGGAGGAGTTTTTCTGGAGGTCTTCTCGGGTCAGCCTTCCTCCTTTAACGCTCAAACACAAGCGTGAGGACGGGCTTCGAAAACCAATTCCTTTCTCCTCAACCCCTCAGTTTAGCCGCATGAGGACACGCTGTGTATTTGGAGGCCTTCAATTCAGGCCACACAGTCTTAAGGGATGAGTAAAAGGTTGTGGGGACGGACTGTTAGACAAAAAAGGGACACATCAGCGTTGTAAGGATTTTAACCCTCTGAACCCTCGTCACGTTTTTTACTCTCTGTGGGCTCTTTTTTTTTCCTGCACTATAAAGTCCTGCGCCTCTATGGAAACAGCCCAACCATGGCTGGATGTACAGAACGCTTAAAAATGTCTGTGCAGTAAGTTTTAGTGCCATAAATCATTAAAAAGAGAGAGAAAAAGTTTAATTTCTTTGGTCTTTCACTTTACAAAATGAGCTGTTAGCAGTACTAGAAAGTAAATGGTGGCTCTACATACTAAAGACATTGTACAGCTTATATTTTTAATGTCTTTACATACTTTTTTCCTGTCTGCTCTGTGTAAACACTGCCTGCAGTTCAACTGAAAAGTCCCAGAATTCTTGTCACAAGACTGTTGGTTGTAACTGATGCACTAGTGGCTTCTTCTTTGCCCCAGAGTGTTTTAAAGAATCACGTTGGAGCAAATGGTTTATTTTTGGCAAATTCAAAATGGAATAAAGGAATTTTATTTAAACATCCTAATTTGAGACTTATATTTGGTTAATTTTTCAGACAGAAGCGAATGTCACGCTTGAAGTAAGAGCCATCCTGAAGTTGAAAATTCGAGGATTCTGTCGGTTTTTACAGGCTCTTGTTCTGCTATTGGTGTAATTTGTTCCCTTCATTTTCAAACCCACCAGCAGGTTTTGGGGTTCAGAGGGTTAATAGAGACTTTTTTGCTTTTCAAACTTTGCCGCTCCTGTTGTCAAATACACCGGAAATTTACGCTAATTTGTCAGAACAGGAGGCAAGCTTTTAGATATTCTTTCACTAAATGAGATTTTATTAGTCATGGTTGGAGTTGTTCCTCGTTAAGGTGGAACAAGACACAGGTGAAGATAAATGCTGAACTTAGCATGATAACATGATAGGGCAGAACAAGAACCAGATATCTGCCTCGACCAGTTGCGGTTAGAGCATTTAGCAGTTAGCATTTAGAAAAAAGTAGTTGTGGCTAGCTTAAATAGTTTTGCTGGTTCTTTGGATATAAATCAAATCCAGCTATTGGATTAGTCAAAATGTTAACCTGAGGGATTACAGGTATTGTAATCTATCTTCTTGGAAGAATAAACTCCCTTTAAAAGGAAGAAGCTTCTGGCAGAACCAGGCTCAGGGAAGTCAGACGTCTGCCTCACCCAGAGCTTTTGCGAGTTAGCGCTGTAGCTAAATACTTTTGCTGGTTCTTTGGAGATGAATTAAATGCAACTATTGGAAAAATCTAAACGCACAATACATCTTCTGGAGACCATGAGTGGCTGTGCGAAATTTGGCGCTAATTCATCAAGTAGTTTTCACCAAAATGAACGAAGCCAAAACATGTTTCTGGTGGAAACTGTACCATGAGTCACTTTGCAAACTTATTATGACTCTTAACATCCCTTATTCTCACAGTGATTGATTTCGTCAGTGATTGTGTTGTTTTTCTTTTCAATTTGACTGCAGCAGAAAGCACAAATTTTCAGAACTTCATACGTAAACTATCGCCTGAATCAGCATCACATTCACTGTAAAATGAATATCAGTTGCAGTTTGACTCTTTTAGACCACAGCTCACTTCACTCCCTGTTAAAGAGACGCACAACATATGCTTAAAAATAGACACGCACATGAAATGTGGCGGTTTGTGTGCGAGCCGACAGTAGCGTACATGCAGCTAAAGCCTTGTTACATAATTCTCAAACTAGCGGGCCGTGTTACAATGCCACTTTCCACCACATGCACACACATGGTCCCGAGCAGCCCGACGAAAATCCCGCAGACCGGACCGGTGTGAGGGGTTGATTCAGGACGAAGGCGAAGAAGTGATGGATAACCGGACAGATGGGACGGACGGACGGACGGACAGAGGGAGGCATAGATGGGTCAACAGATGTACTGATTGATGGATGAATGAATCAGTTAAATGGTGAACAGATAATAGAAAGATGACTCGCAGGACGGATGGATGATTATCGTGATTGCGATGAGACGCTCTCTAATCAGGAGGCGAGTGAGATCATTACGGGAAGAAAAGGGAAAGACGAACACGGACCTCCCAGAGAGGGATGTGTTGGAGAGTCACAGTAGCTCTGTGAAGTATTTGAACCCACATAGAGTAAATGCAGCAGAGATTGGCCTAGTTATGAGTGTTTATCTAGCTCCAACAGTACACAGTGTCCTTATTATAACAGCATGCATCTGGCCTTTATATGGATCTGTGAGGTAATAAAACTGTTTGTGTAAATACACTGTTTAAATACAGAAAGTATATTAGGAAGCTGAGGCAGACGGAAGAGAAGAAATAAAAATGATAAATGCTCAAAGAGGGAATGTATTTTCTGCAGTGGGGATGCATTGTAATCAGAGGAAAGGCACCGCAGCTCATGATTGTGTAAAGGTGGAATCTGGACGTCTTTAGCGATTCCTGTGGAGAAAACGTTTTGATTCAAACTACTGTCTTCTTGCAGACTCGCCAACTCGTTTCCAGCTCGCAGCCACTTCCACAGTTATGTTCTGTGACTTTGTGCCTGGCAAAAGGGAGGGTGCAATGCAACTATTTATCACGTTTGATAGATGCCAAGAGGCAGTGGTGGTTGTAAACTGCAGCAAATGTGAGTTTGTTTTGTTGGTTCAGGACATAAAACTGAAAAATGAAGCCAAAAACCTGCAGTTCCTTAAACAACCACTTGAGGCTCCAAAAGTGAGTCAGTCCCCATAGACCTCCATGTTAAACTGTCTGACTTTACAGCAGAAATAAACATGTTTACAGCCCGGCATAAATAACAGTTTTGATCTCTACAGCTAGCTTACCCGTTCCTGACAGCTGTGCAGGGGGTGGATTTTTATGTATCTTATTCGTTTAGGTTGTATTAAGGTTTAAAGTTGTGCATGGTTAGGGGTGTGGCTACTTTAAGTAACTGGCAGGTGCTGTCATATGATAGTCATTGATGTTTGCCTTACCTGGAAGTTATTATTCTCCTTTGTGGACACTCCAATGCTCTGCACTTGTATAGTGGCTTTTAACCTGGTTTTACAAGAAGGTGCTCACCTGCCATTGGGAGCCATTTAGGGTT